GCAAAGGTCAGCTTCTTCCAATACCTCCTCGTCTCTGGGATGGAAAAAGAGGGCCTCTTTGGCCCCGAGGTCGGCCGTGTGGTTTCCGAGCCTGCGGGCCATCTCATCACGAGAGAGACCTTCATCATTCAGAGACAAATTGGCCTTTGACCTTGACCACCTCGCGAATATGATGGCGCTCAGGACGGCCCAGAAGCTGCAGAACAACACCAGCATACATTATCTTGAAAAATACTTGGGCATCCCTGGGCAATTCATGCTGTAGCTTGACGTTGGCGCAATCGGTGTAGAGAGCGCTCGGGCCAGCAAGACACATGGTAGCACCCCAATAACCCGAAAACTCGCCGGCCTGAGGGGTCAGGAGCAGGGGAGCCCAAACAGGGCACTTCATTGTGCAAAGGAGCTCGTCTTCCTCCGAGAAGAGCGCCACGCACCAAGACGCACGGTTTAATTCCTTTACAACATGGCGAGAGCAAGATCCATCGATGAAGATTTTGCCTTGCATTTGGAATAGGTTGTCCGAAGGAGGATCCTGGCTCCAGACAACATCCAGGAGCCTTCTTCGAGCGGGGGTGGGTGGTCATCTCCTGGGTGGGCCATGCCGCTGCGAGGATCTCCTGCTGCTGCTGCTGTTGCTGCTAGTGCCTGGTACTGCTTCACACGACCGTCAGCGGGCACGAAGCTCGGCCTCTCTCGCTCCTCGCCCCCACCCTACCTGCTCCCTTCCATCCCCTCACCTGCCCTCCTTTCTGAAATTTCCTCCTTCCCTCCCTCCCTCCCCCCATCCCTCCCTCTCCCTCCTCCCTCCCCCCCCTGTATAGGTCCCGGGGTTCCTCTCAACAGAGTTTTCTAGAGTTGAGCACGTCTTCACGACACTGCCATCGTCCGCCGCCGCCGCCCTCCACGCCAACCCCTCCCCTCGCTCATACTTCCTCCATCCCCCCCCCGCGCAAGGGAAAACCAAACAATACCGATACCGCTACTTCCCGAACCTCTCCCGGGGTGCGTTCGGACTAAAATTTCGATGCGAATCCAGCCGTGGCGACGAGGGCCTTTCAGGAGGCCCAAAATGGCAAACACGAGGCAAGGGCAGCGGCATCGGTACCTCATCCTCCTCTGATTTCACCTCCATACTTTAACCCCCCCTCCCCCGCCCGCCCCTCGGAGCCGTCGGCGGAGGTGGAGATCTTGTACACGCCGTGGCCGTCAGTGCTGGAGTAGACCCACTCGCCGACCATTACCTCCTTCGGTCCCACTCTGCCCTCTAGCGTGGCCGCTCCCGCCCGGCTGCGCAGCAGCGAGCTCCCGCCCTGCATCCCACTGCCCTCCCACCTCCCCTCTTGTCCTCACCCCCTCCCCCCCGCCTCCCGCCTCCCCCTCCGCCGCCACTCCTGCCCCCCCCCCCATTCCTGCATCGAACCCCTCCTTCCTGCCTCCCTCCCCACCTCCGCGCGATCGACGCCCGCCCTCGCTGGCTGCCTCCCGGCAGCGCTCTCGCGCGCCCCTGCCGCCCCGTTCTCCCCTCAGGCCCGCCGGCGGGCGCGCCCTCCCAGCCGCGCAGGGGCCAGGAGGCGGTGCACCCGCCCCAAGCCTTCGCGTCCCTGCAAAAAACGCAAGGAAAAAGAAAAAGCAAAAAAATCAAAAATTTAGAAAGAAAATTAAAGTGAGCAAAAGAAAAGAGAATGCCAGAATGGAGGAAACGGGCCCTGAGGAAAACGGTTCCTCCTCCTCCTCCTCTCCGCCTCCTCCTCCTCCTCCTCCTCCTCCTCCCTCCTCCTCCTCCTCCTCCCCCTCCTCCTCCTCCTCCTCCTCCTCCTCCTCCTCCTCCTCCTCCTCCTCCATCTGCTGGCCCTCGTCCTCCGAAGTACATTTTGGCTCAAGATCGTCCCCGCAAGCCCCGCCACCGTCGCTCCGACGCCAGTTACAATGAACGCCCGCCGTGCGCGCGCGTCGCAGGACGCCCTCCGAGGCGCGTTCCTCGCGACGCGCGCCGCGGCAGGGCTCACGGGCGAGCACCGCGAAGCCCAGCGCCTCGCGCGCGCCGCCCAGGGCCTCCTGCGGGCAGCCCTGTCGGGCCTGGCGACGCCGCCCGCCACCCCCCCACGCGCCGCCCAGGGACGCGGCCCCGCCCGCTGCTGCCCGTCGGCCGCGGCGGCGCCGCCCGCACGGGCAAGCCCGCGCGGGCAAGGCGGGCGTGCGGGAGCGGGAGCGGCGGAGCTGGAGACGGCGATGGTGGTTGGGACGCAGAAGTACATACTAGGGCTATGTGTCCTCCTCGGCGTGCGTCCAGCCCGAACATACAATATAGCCACTTTGCAGCGTATCGTTTCCCGAGCGGTACGATCAGAAAGCATCCGCCACGGAGCGTATACCATTAGAGTTCCCGGCACGCGCGCCGCCCCTGGGGGCGGGGGGCGAGGGCCGCACGCATAGTATTACTACGGCGGTGGACGCGGAGGTTGGGGCTGCTGGGGCGGCGGTGGCAGCGGGGGTCGCCGATGTCGGCCAGGAGCTGCCGCCCGACGACCGAGCCGACGACCCCCCCGATCGTGCGGAGGGTCGGCCGTGGCGCGGGCGGCACGGAATGGCGCCAGGGCGAGGACAAGGACAAGAGCGGCCTCCCGCCCGACAAGTCGAAGGCGGGCGCGCGGGTGCGCATTGCGGACGGCCCGTGGGCTGGCCGCGAGGGCGCCATCACCCGTTTCGGCACTGGCCTGGGAGGCGTCAGGCTCGACGCCGGTGGGCGGAGGGCAGGAGCCGGGGCCGCGTCGTGGACGTCGGCATCGCCTCCGTGCCGCTCAGCTCCCGAGCTCGCAGCCGGCATCGTGAAGCCCGTCCTCGTTCTCTTCTGAGCTCGCTGGCTCTCAAAGTTACGGTCTACCCTGGGGCCCCTCGAGAAAACTCCTCCTCCTCCTCCTCCTCCTCCTCCTCCTCCTCCTCCTCCTCCTCCTCCTCCTAGCTCCTGCTCCTCCTGCTCCTCATGCTCCTCCCTCCTCCTCCTCCTCCTCCTCCTCCTCCTCCTCCTCCTCCTGCTCCTGCTCCTCCTCCTCCTCCTGCTCCTCCTCATCCTCCTCCTCCCTCCTCCTCCTCCCCTCATCCTCCTCCTCCTCCTCCTCCTCCTCCTCCTCCTCCTCCTCCTCCTCCTCCTCCTCCTCATTCTCATTATCCTGAACCCCAGGCCCTTTCCCCAGGACAGGTGTTCATTCTGAGCCGCTCGCTGGCAGCTCTGGGAAGCCAGGAGGCGGAGCAAAACCTCAGGGCCCGCTTCCCTCACCGCTTCCCTCAGAGCCCGCTTCGTTCATGGCGATGCAGACTGCACAGGCCGTGGAGGGCGCAGGGCTGGAAACCGGAACCGGAAACCCGCGGCGCCACGGCGCCCGACCGTCCTCCCCCGGCGGCCACCGCGGGCGCACTGGCCAAAGGTGTGGAGAAGCAGGGCGGACGGGAATTTCCTGCCAACTCCTCCCATACCCCTGCCCCGCCACCCCCTCCACGCATTCTCCATCCTCCCTCCATCCTCTATCACCCCCCCTCATCCATCCCTCATCCCCCATCCTCGATCCTCCATCCCGGAGCCGTGTCCTCCCATATCCGCCACGTCCATTGCGAAACGGATCAACACTCAACAAGAGACTACCATTTAAATACGGCATGCAGTTCCCCAGCTGCTGAATTCAATTGGGCGGTCGGAACGACGGCGGTGCACTTTTCCACGGGCCCGAAATCCGACCCCGAGGTCGAAAAAGTTCGAAAACCTCTCCAAATCCATAACATCGAGCCTGCCCCCTTTCTCGCACCTCATACCCCCAGACGGCCAGAAAAATTGCTGGGTAACCTCATACCCCCAGACGGCCCCTCCTCTTCCCGACGCATTGAGGAGCACGTTTGTGCCCCCCCCCCCCACACCACGCACAGTGCAGCACTTCGCCGCACTCAGCCCAGCACCACCAGCACCACGACGACGAAAGGGAGCTCACCCATGCTGGGCCGTGAGCCGCTGCACACCAGGATGCACACACACTCCGCGCAGAAAGTGTCCTCGCACTCGCAACCCACGCTCAGGATGACGTCATCACCATCACAGATGGGGCCCGCGTACACCGCGCAAGCCTCCTCGTCGCAATTAGCCGCGTCTCAGACCAGCGCATGTCCCAATGAACACATGAACACCACCAGCGGCACCCCGAGAACTCCTCCTGCGCGACCATCCCGACGACGACGGCTCGCCCCCCACCCTCAGAACCGTCCACCGTGGGGGGTGGGACCCCACGGCAGGAAGCTGACCAGCTTGGACACCAGCGCGTCGATGAAGTCCCTTCGGCGGACAAAAGGCTGAACACGACCACCACAGCGCTGAGGAAGGCGTTCCATGACCTGGCGGTGCAGCTCCTCCAGGCCACGAAACACTCCGCCTCGGCCCTGGGAACACTCCGCACGAGATCCGTCCCTCCTGGCGCCAGCAGCACCTCCTGCTCAGACACCTCGACGCAGTCCAGCATCTTCACCTCGGCAGGCCCAGCGTGCTCCTGCTTGATCGTCATCTCGTTGCACACCTGCACCTTGTCCTTCCTCTCTTTCTTCTTATTAGTATTCGTTTCTTCCTGGTATCATTAGTATTGTTGTTAACATGCGCATTGTTTGTATGGTTGCTTCTTACTATTAGTAATAGTAGTAGTAGTATGCTTTTTCTTCTTACCATTATTATGATGTTTCATATCAGTACTGATGTGCCCGCGCGACTCCACCCCCACCCCAAGCCTGGGGCCAGCCTGCGCGCGCCGCAGCTCATCCTCCACAGCACGATGGATGCAGACACCCTCGGCGACAGTGAAGGGCCACGCTGCGGCGCAGGTTGTCCAGCCACCGCGGCTGGCTGCCAGCTGCCAGCGCCAGGAGCGCAGGGAGGATGCTGCAGAGGCGGTCCGCGAGGTCGGCGTCTCCCACGAACGACAACAGGACCTCCTCCGCCAACTGCAGCTACGCCTCTGTACGACCAAGCT